CTAACGGTGCAGTGAGCAAACACAAAACTTCTAAGAAATCATCCACATTGGATTGAGTCATCTTTTCAGAAGATCTGTGCAGCATACTAAAGTTATGTAACATGGATTCAAATAAAGACTTGGCTTATTTGCATTAGAATTACTTTAGTCTACATGCATGCAGGAGAGTGTCAGCACTTCTGGCATCTTTAGGTCACTTCCTGTCTTACAGCATGCTTCACACCTCTACAGGAGAAGTTCACGACATCTCTATAAAGATCCAACAAGCCTTCAAGCTTTTTATTACACACCAAACATCTTCAGGTCAAGTAGCACTGAAGCTTGAGTGCAAGATCAGTGATCCTTCACAATGAGGAGAGCTAACCCGAGTTTTTATGCAAGCTGATGAAGAGCAGCATTTTTTTTAACACGACTGTAAAAAGCAGCTTGAGAGGCTGCCACCAAAAAGGACAATGCAAAGGCAATATAATCCATAAAAGGCGTGTTGTACAATGAGCACTTAAAATTCATTAACCTTCTTTTAGGAAAAAGTTAAACTACATCTTTAACACTGCAGTCACCTGGTGCTCCTGGTAAATTTTACCAAGGTTTGATAACTGCTGTGTTTTCTTTTCAAAGAGGGAATGAGATTGCCCACTGATGTGCTCAACGTTTAGGGTCCAAGTATATTGACTTTGAGTTTGGAGGCCAATAACAAAGGGAACACAGCATACAGCCACTTCTGGGACAAAGGCCATCAGCATCAAATTACCAGGGGATGCAGAAAGCTGGTCCCAGATCAAGGAAACCATTCCAACATAATTACTCTGCAGAAGCTTTCCATTGCACTTAGTGTATCTTGAATTACCTGAACACATGAAACAAACAAATTTCTTTTACTGGCTTGCCTGGCTGGTACAATGCCAAGATGGATATGAATTAACAGTAATAACTGTTTCAGGACAGGAAAAAGACACTACACTTAAGATTTCAGAATCGGAATGGTAAGAGACAGGCAGGTACAGATAAAATTCAAGGTCTCAAGAGATACAGCACTAACTTAAAACAGATTTCGACTACACTATCCAAATACAACTATTTTAAATATTTCTACTTTTATATTGCTACTCTGTTGCTCCTAACTGTAGGTCATTTTTTAAATCATGTGTGTAGCAAATACGTTTCTCTAACCTGACTCAACTACTCCAATTCACCTGAAGTTTTGCCTGTTATTTGATGATCTCCAAACCTTTTGGCATAGATGAGAAAATCCATGTGGATAAGTAGGGAGGCACCCACAAGCACCTCTGTCTTAAGAATTCTTACTGGCCTCCTCAAGAACACCTACTAACCAGTGAAGTCAGGTAGCCACAGTTTTCTTTCTTTTAAATAAAACAAAATCTATTTATTCTCTCACATGGGCCAATGACACTATAACACCATTAAGTAAAATAACCTTACAATCACCAATACAAAAAGATTCCTTCTCCCGGCAGAAAAAGCTACACTACATAGTACAGAAAATAATTGCTTTAAATCAGGAACTTATTTCCTGTGATCTACTTCCCATCTGCAAGGCAATACACTGCAATCAGTTTTGGCTGTAGTTGTGCTTCAAAGCAGTTGACTTGAGTCTCAGAGTAATTCAGATGCAATACAACTTTCAAATCTGCTTTCAGTGTTGCTAGGTCTCCTCAGTTTGTCTTCTAAAATCCTCTGTCTTCCAAATTTCAGCAGCTGCCACAACAGCCACTACAGGAAAACATATTGCATCAATGCCAACAGCTATACTGAGCAAGGACCCAAACACCAGCATATGTCCCAGCAGCAAAAGTTGCAGACAACCATAAATAAGCAAAGAATAGTAGCTTCTCATACCACTGAATGACTTCAACACCACAAAAACAAAGGGGGGCTAAAAAAAGAGAAAAGCATATTAACTGAAACAGCAGGTAAACTATCAGAGTCGAGCACTAAAAAACACATCCATCTCTCCATAGCAGCCCAGATGTACTTACACAATTGTGGTTGTCTTAAAGCTGCTAATCTAGATAAGCTGTGCAGGGAAGACAGTGATCAGTGTGTCACGGGTGGGGTGACAGATGACAGCCAAAACAAGAGGGCAAGTCATTAAGGGGGGTGGGGGATGATCAGCATCAGTTTCTGAGACTGACTAATCAATGAGATGCCAAGTCAGGCTCTGAGGAAACAGATACTTGAATCTGAAATTAGGCTTAAAGATACAACACGACCATGTCCTGTGCAGAGCCAAGAGTTGGACTTGATGATCCTTGTGGCTCCCTTCCAGCTCAGAATATTCTGTGATTATTAAAATATCATTAGGACATAAATATCTAACAAGTGACAGAGCTCGACCTGGAAAAGCTAACAGAAAATGAGATGGCAGGAAAAGATTATTACAGACAACTAACTGAAGCTTAAAATAACAACTCCTATATAACAAACTTTTAGCAAGTTTGGGGGTTTTTTCCCTTTGAAAAAGAACTCAACCCAGTACTGCAAATTGCACACTAAACCTACTGAACAAGCACTTATTGTTCACCCTTGAAGGCTGATGCTTTGAATTATAGAACTGAATTTTTTTCTTTTCAAAACAAAACAAACAAGTAAAAAATCCCTACCATTTCAGAGAATTCTGAAACCAGGCAGCAAGAGATGCACACAAGAGAACATACCTGATTTACAAGTAACAAAAAATAATTCTCAACAGACTCCATCTCAGAAAAGCCTATTCAAAGGTGTTCCTAGGGGGTTTCCCAGCAGTCACTTACTGACTGCAGGTTTACACAACAAATTTTTATGTGTTATACCACTACTCAGTTTAAAAAAAAAAACAAAAGAGTAAGTCATTTCCTTTACGGATACACAGAATTACATAGTTTAAATGGGCCCACCAGTTGCATGTTCGGAATGACTGATGTATTCACAAGTTAATTACTTAGTACTACTTAACTACTTACATACTAAAAAAGCTTATGCCTACCAAGTAATTAACTATTTAACTTCAAGTGTTACATTTCACATACATCTGAAATGTAGCCAAAGCAGGATCATTTTCCTCAGTACACACTTTTCAAGAAAACCTGTAAGTGAAGCTGTCTGGAACCGATGATGTCTAGAGATACCAGAATATGGGACCTGACCACTACCAATTAACCCAAGTAAACAGAAGGGCACTAAGACTTTATGTTGTGTAAATTACGTGTGCCTTTGAAAAGCTGCCTCTTCACCTCGAGTACTCCAATATGGTATACAGACAGTGACTATTTTAAAAAATAAAAGAATCAGAACCAAACATTTAGGAACAAAAGAGCTGCGATCCTAGCACTCGTTTTCATGAATCACTAGAGACATGTTCAGAAAGGTTCATGCAAGCTCATCTGACGCAAGTGATGTTTTACCCAAACTGAAAGCATCCAGAAAAAATGAAACATCACACTATATTGTGTTCAACCCAGTTAGTTATACCGTGTTCCATAAGCCTAAAAGGGAGTAAGCTGGAAAGAAGGTCTGGAGATGAGGGTGAGAGTAAAAAAACATATACAATAAAAGGAAATAAAATTTAGAAAGGCAAGGTACAATTTTCAGTTCTAGTGCACTGCTGGCTAGCAATAGCAGCTGACAATGCCAGTAATTTTTGTGTCCGTATTCTCCAAATAGAGGTAATTTTCCTCTCAGGTAGGAGAGGAATCATGTTTATACAGCTTGGACGGGAGGCAAGTCAGGAGCCTTAACCTTACTCAACAGCCTCATTGCTAGCATTCTGCTTTGTGGTGTTTATGCATATCACTTCACCACAGTACACTGGTTCTCCTTCTCATCCTCCACATGCTGTCCACTTAGACTACACCCACCCTGTGGGGATTAGGGACCATCTTGCAATTCTATGACACAATTAGCAAAAAGTCAGTATTGGGTGAACGCAAGCTAACATTTTTGAAACTCAGGTACTGTTATCAGAGATGCAAAACTAAAATGCATCCGGTGCATATTAACTATGTTAGCTTCAAAAGCTGGACAACAGCTTCAACAAACTCAAGACAAAACCTATTATGGCAGCTATGCTCATCCAAAGCTCAAAACAAGCTTAGAAGTGGAAGTCAGACACTGAAAGCTGAGAAAAAGCAAAGCGTTCCTCTGACTTCTTAAGAAGATGGTTATCCTTGCCTCTCAATGCCACCTTCAAAGACATAGCCCATGTTTCAAAGACTTCATTTCTCCAATGGGTCAAACAGCACAACAGGAAAATTGAGGTTAAGGACTGACCATTAACACCTTGGATTATTATGTACTAGTATTGTACACATTAATTAAGACGAGCAGCCAAAACTCTGACTCTATTTCAATTAGTTTACAATGCCTTTCTGGTATCATACACCACCTCAAATATTCAAGTTGTTTGATTAGAAGGCCCAGAAATGTGAATGTTTCAGACACAGAGGGAAGACCACTAATTTGTTCCAGGAACAAGAAAGTAAGTTTGCAACTAATATGTAGTAAAAATGTGTTTATTTCATAAGATGAAATACGTCAAGTAAGCCTTTCTTCGGGCAATAGTAAAAAAGAATTCAACTCTTGCCTGAAAGTTCAAAAGATAACATTTCACAAAAAAGTTATTAAAAAAAAAAATCCACATAGTAGCCATGTTACATGAAACTCTGAAGTTCCTCTTTCATAAGTCCTGTAATGGCTTAGTGCTATTTTTCCTCTCCAATTGAAAGCCTAGTCTTCTACTCTTCCCTTTAAGGATCCACATAATAGCGAGGTTCCAAAGGAAGCTATTGGAAGACAGCAACATTTCCTAGAGCAAAGCAGAGTTCTATCAAGTGAGTTTTTATTTCTTAAACGAATTAATTTAAGATCAAGTTATTTTTCAGTCACGTCAAATAAACTTTCACATGCTATTTCTCCCTTTCAGTCCCTGAACAACTGCCTATAGCTGCAAGTTCCTTCCTGTAAAAAAGAAAGCCCTATAAGCATTTAAGTCTGCACACTTAACATAGCTAAAGAAACACATATTTTTATTATTATTTTAACAGTAGTAGCAGCCATCTGGCAAAAACATGAAGTAAAAACCACTTTGGACACATTAAATTGCTCTTCCTCCAGAGTATTCCCATCTTCAGTTGCCCTACAAGAACAGTTTCTGGCATGAGTGGACAAGAAATTCAAATAGTATAACAGCTAACCACCATCATTAGAGATGATGAAAGACAATGCCTAAAAGGCTCCGTCTTGGAAGAGCTGTAATTATCTATATTAATAACAAAATGCCCCAAACCCCGTCCATCCCGTTTCCCACCTTCCTCTCTCCTTCCACAAGAAAAAAGGGAGGCAAAATATGAGGGGCAGCCTCCTCAGAGGCATCTCGCTGAAGAAGGAAGGGATAATGGGATGGAAAAGACAAGAGCGAGGGAAGTAGGGCGAAAAAGAGGGAGGAGAAGCACCTCCCAGCCCACGGTCATCAAAAACCCGAGACCCGGGGCTGAACACTGGCCCCAGCAGCTCCGCTCTCCCCAGGCTCTGGGGCCCAACTTCCCCCTCTCCCTGCCATCCACAGGCCGGGAATCCCCGCCGCCATCCCCCGGCCTCTGCCGCCGCACACACCGCAGGGGGGGCGGCCGCCTTCGAGTCCTCCTCCTGCCCCGGACCCGCCGCCCCCAGCGGGGCCCGCTCGGCTCCGGCCTCACCTTTGCGCAGCTCCCGCTCCCACACGCTGACGATGAGCGCCGAATGCTTGCGGTGGTGGATGAGCCACAGGCTCAGGGTCTGCACGCTCTGCTGCGAGTTGCTCAGCTCCGACAGCTTCCGCTCCAGCGCCGCCTCCGAGAACGCCGACATCGCTGCGCCGCGCTGGGCCCCACAGCCCCGTCCTGCCGCGTCCCGTCCCGGCCGGGCCTCGCTCAGTCCCCGCCTCTGGGGCCCGGCGGGGGAGGAGCCGCCCGACAATTCCCGGCCCTTTCCGTCCCGCCGGTGGCGCCGGGCGACAACAAAATGGCGGCGGCCCAGACCCGCGGGGAGCCGCGCGGCCCCGCCCCCCGCCCGCACTTCCGCCGGGCCCCAGCGGGAGGGCGGGGCTGGGGCGGGACTGCCCGGGGGTGGGAACGGGACGGGACGGGGCTGCATCCTGTGGGATCCCTTCCACAGTGGATCTATCCATACTGCGCCCTGGGAAACAGCATAAAGACGCACATGCAAATAAGGCCCTCCCCCTGTCCAAGGCAACACCGGCCTGCCGGTTTCTTTCACAGAGCAGGTTAAGCATCTCAAGATCGTTAGGGTTGGAAGGTGTCTGTGGAAATCATCCAGGCCAGCCCCCCTGCCAAGGCAGGGTCACGCAGAGCAGGTGGCGCAGAAACGCGTCCTAGCGGATTTGGAGTGTCTCCAGAGAGGGAGACTCCACAGCCTCCCTGGGCAGCCTGTTCCAGCGTTCAGTCACCCTCACAGTAAAGAAGTTCTTCCTCATATGCACGTGGAACTTCGTGCAAATCAGTTTCTGGCCATTACCTTTTGTCCAATTGCTCGGCACCACTGAGAAGAGCCTGACAGTATCCTCTTGACAGCCTCCCTTCAGACACTTACAGACACTGATGAGGTCCTAAATTGTCTCTTTTCGATGCTGAACAGGCCAAGTTCCATCAGCCTTTCCTCCTAAGGGAGGTGCTCCAGTCCCTTAATCATATTCATAGCCTTCCACTGGACCTCCTCCAGGAGCTCCATGTCTCTGTTGTGCTGAGGAGCCCAGAACTGGACACAGCACTCCAGATGTGGCCTCACCAGGACAGAGCAGAGGGGCAGGGTCACCTCCCTCGACCTGCTGGCAATGGTCTTGCTAAGGCACCCCAGGATACCATTGGCCTTCTTGGCCCCCAGGGCACATAGCTGGCTCATGGACAGCTTGTTGTCCACCAGGACCCCCAGAGGTCAGCCCCCAGCCTGTGCTGCCTGGGGTAATTCTTCCCCAGGTGCAGGACCCTGCACTTGCCTTTGTTGTATTTCAGAAGGTTCCTCTCTGCCCACCTCTCCAGCCTGTTGAGGTCCTTCTGAAGCAGTACAGAGCACCCTGGGGTATCAGTCACTCCTCCCAGCTTTATTTTTTAAAAATTTATAAAGTTCTCTCCCTGTTTCATGACTGACATTCAGAGAAGGTGTACTAGAGGATTTGGCTTAGGCAATTTTCCTAATATTTGTTCTTAGTGAAATCTTCTCTTAAACATTAAATCTACAATGAGGGCAATGTGGGAGTGTTAGGAGGTCTTAATGTGAATTCTAGTTGCAAAATCATCTGTAGCATGAGTGATTTGGGGGGGAACTAGAAAGGATTTTGCAAAAATGCTTTTGACAGAGAAATTTCAGTGAGAAGCTGCACAGATCCCTACAGAGTCACTTATACAATGCCTTTTGATCATCATGAATGAAAGAACCTGTAACATACTGCTATTTTTGCTATGTACAGCAGAGGACACTCTGACATTAAGTAGAACTGACCAGTGAAGTAAAATAAGGACAGAACTAGCTAAGACAGATGCACCCATTAGAAAAATTAAATATGAATGGTAATCTAGTAACCATCATCCAAATACCAGTTTTTAGAGGCATATATATTCTGGTGTTAGCAGGAGAAACCTGTGGACAATTGTGGAAAAACAAATATTTCTCTCACATACAAGACTAGGCTATAAAGTAAATAGCAAGAAACAGTGAAATTTCCAAGTTAAAGCAACAAAAATAAAAAGGAAGAAAAAGCAGGAAATAGGTAGAGAATTTTGGTAATGTTTGTAGAGATGTTTATTACTGCTTCCTCTGCATATTCCATCCCAGAAGGTATAACATTTTTACAAAAGAAAAAAATCCTCTGTGGTAGATGTTTTTACTGTAAATAAATGTATTTAAATACCAATAGATTTTCTGTGTGTTATATACTGTATAATATGCTATACAGCAAAACAGAAATTTCACTTTTCCCATAAATCTTTATAGCACATCTAAAATTTGCAATAATGTTTACATCAGTAACCTAATTTAAAATCTATGCTTTATCCAGTAGGGAATGGAAATTTGCCGTGAGACTCACTCAAAGCAAAGTGACTCTCAGAGACGATGTATTGCACCCTGGGGAGTTTATTTGTTGCAGAGCTTGGAAAACCTCAGTAATCATTCAGAAACAATATATTAGTCTCCTACCTTTAAAAAATTCACCCACACCCACAACAGTGGAGCTGCCAACAGATGGCAAGATTTCTTCCACACATTCCTGTGTTCAAACTGTAATAGCATCTTCCTTCTGGTTCCCTAAGAGCAAAGTTCTGTGCTGCTTCTCTTCCATCTGGGTAGTCCACTATGTTCTCCCACTCTGGAAGAAAGGAGCCACGTGCAAGTGTAAGTTAATGACTGTGAATAAATTACTTCGTTGATGTTTATGTAGAACGTGGGATTGGGAAGCTCTAGGTAGTTCAAAGATGTAATTACAGTCACCAAGAGGCTGTACAGCATGCTTACTTCATGAGCAGGTTGCAGATGTTTTGGGTTTTTTACCCTTCACCCAAGGACATCCACATAAAACATTTCATAAGAAGAGACTTTAACCCTAGTAACAATTGGAAGTTTTAACATCTGTTACCTTGAAGGAATCATGGGAAGTGTTTAAACTCATCTATGTCTAAAATATCTATGCTTACGGTGCATTTTGGGAAAGGTAAAACTATCAAACCAAAACAACACATCAATCCACATATTTGCCTTTTCTTTTTTTTTTTTTTTTTTTTTTTTTTTTTTTTTTTTTTTTTTTTTTTTTTTTTTTTTTTTTTTTTTTTTTTTTTTTTTTTTTTTTTTTTTTTTTTTTTTTTTTTGCTTTCTCTCCCTTGTCAAATATCTGAGCATTTATATTATCCAGTTGCAATTCAAAGAGAAAGCTTGCTTCTACTGAGGTGCTACATCTTGATTCTACTGTAGGGTTCTCTCAAAAGCAACTATTCCAAGGCACAAACGTGTATGTGTGCTCTTTCTCTGCCTGAACCACTGCTGCTGATGGTCAGAACACTGAGCCCTGTTTCTTGGACTGTCTGCAGCAAATCTGGCTGGCTTAGCTCCCAGTACCCTTGGAGGCATGACCAATGGCACTGCCTCAAGACAGGAACGTTTTGTTATCACTAAGCATTTTAAAGATAGCAAATCATAGGGGTTTAGATATTTACTCTGAAACAGGCAAGAAAAAGCAAAGTTTAAAAGGAGGTCAGCATCAGGGCAGACTGTCTGTCCTATCTCTCATCTTTCAAGCAGGGCCAAAAGAATGGCATAGGAAGCAGTTTGTGTTTGTTAACAGTGCCAAAAGAGGCAAAACGGGCAAAGCCCCGGTGAAACTGGCTTGCCTGGACTCCAGTGGTCTCGTGGTTTAGTGTGAATCAACTGCTATTGCTCTGCAGAACAACACTCTGCCTGCCAAATCCAAGAGGTATAGGCTACATTAAAAATATACACCACCTGACTAGTTTGCTATTCACCAAGCCTTTATATCTCATTGCATGTTTTGTTGATATGAATATGTCATAGTCTCAGAGTCAATTTTAACTTTAGTTGTTTCCTCCAGGGCACTCCCCCAAACAGCTGTCACCTTTAGAAGTCATTTTCTTTTGAAGCTTAGAGATGCAACTGATGGATTTATTTATCCTTAGCAATGTTCTATGCTTCACTGGAATTTTTTTAGGAACCCGTATTTTACACCACTACATAGAGCAGTAAAACAATCTATGTATAAACTGGTTTACTGGTTTAGTGAACATCGGTCATTGGCTATGTCGGATATGAGTTAAAAACAGCTCTTGCACCAGAATAAAACAGATATTTCTCGGTATAAAGATAGCATTTTCTCATTTAATCTTTCTTGTAACTGTTTCTCAAATAGTGTCACCCATGAGATGAAATAATATTAAAGAAACAGTGAATATTAATATTAAAGGAAAAGTAGTCTCGTTTCCTGTCTGAGAATCTGTGTTAGTCATACTGATAACTAACTGGATATCAAAAATGCAACATTGGCAGATCAGTTCTTTTTTATTGTTCCAAATGTCTGGTCCATCCAGCGTAACAGTTTCAGAAGTTTTGCACTTAAAAATGTTTTTCCATCTGTCACAATATGCTTGCACACCTCACAACTGAGTTCTGTGTAAATGATCCTACTTCCTTATCCCAATAAGAACATGAAAAATGTAGATATGTAAAAAGAACACCCTGAAATATAGCTGAAGTGATTCTTGACTGAGTGATGGTAATTCAGCTGGTAATTTCTTCAGAAACACTAAACACCATTTGTTACCTGAATAACAAGAGGGCATATCCCTGTCAGAAATTATAAATAAAGAAATGCATGGATGAAAAACAAACTAATAGTTGAATCGCTGTGAAGTCCTGCAGACAGAGAACAAAAGAAAGCTTAAATAGAAGGAAGAAGCCCTCTGAAGTAACACACAGGAGCTGCCTACTGGAGCCAAAAACCTTGGGTTGATTAATTGTGCTTTTACATGAGTTCCTGCCACTAAGCACTTCACCTTCTAATGTAATTCATTAAAAGCAGAAATTATTTTCTACTTAGGGGATTAACAAAAACCACTCTCTGAGATATGTATATATGATCCAGCAAGGCATTCCCATATATTATGGAGAAAGATAGATTGTACAATCTAAAAAAAAAATATCTACAGCATTTCTGTGATTACTTTGGCCCTCTGTGGAGATCTAAAGATGTTTGTAGAAAGCTTTCCTTTTTTCCTAAGTCAGGCATCAAGCCAGACAGTTATGTACATCCGGCTTCTTCATCATTACGCTATTAAGTGAAGTCATATTATGTAAACATACACTGTGATTAATATATGGATGCAATCAAGTCCCAGTTTTCCTTAGTAGAGAGTGCTGTAACTAAGCAAGAAAGCACTCCAGGGTATGTATTAACTCAGGTGTGCAGAAAGGCACGAAACATTAGGATGAGTAATTTTAAATGTCTGAGCAATATATAAATGGGTCATTAATATGT